GTATCATAAGACAGACATCTGTGACAAGATTAACTGAAACAAGCAGAGGAAATGTTAATTGCACGTTCCCAGAAATCCGTGTTTGCTAGGAAAACTTCCTGCAGGGGAAGGTGTTCTGTAGGCTCTACCATTTGCTGACTTCTGAAGCAAAAATGTTAAAAGCAGATCTCCTGGTGCTACATGTGCTGCCACAAGTATCATAGGAGTTAGCACTCTTCTCAGAGAAAGCAAAGTGACCTTGTTTCTAAAAGCTTTTCATGCCACCACCCTCTCTGCTGTGTCTTTCTTTCAAGGAAGTTTCTTTATTGGGTGCTGTGAGAAGGTGACTTAAGTGCTGAGGAGCATTTAGCAGCTAGGGACAATATATCTAATTTGTGGATGTCTGTTGAAAGAAATCTACATAAGAATAGGTGAATGTGGTGTTTATTACTCTTTGTCTTTCTGTGCTCTTTGCCTTTTTCAGTTTTTCATTCTCCTGCTCCTTAGCCATTCTCTAAAAACATGCTCTGTTGTGAATTACGGGTGTGGTGCCATTATAACACTATTGCAAAATCTATGAATTTTTAATAAAGACTCAGAATGTTGGCTGATACACATGAAAGGGCTGTTAAGGGCTATTTAGTAAGCACATCTGTAAGTCCTCTGTTAATTTGAGTTCTGAAAGTCTAAGATTACATTTCTGTTGAAAAACGAGACTGAATTGTCTAAGGGTGATGTTATCATTGGATATGGACAGTGGCTCTGTAACTTAGTTCAGTATCTGAGATTATCTTCTGTGTTTTTTTTTCTTCTTTCTACCTAGCATGTTGCCTATTTATTAGTTCATTAGCTGGTTATCTGTAGTGAGCCTTTCTGGAAGCCACTACTGAATGCAGTGAATTATTTTTGTTAGCCTCAAAGCCACCCCACCTTTCTGTCATTTCCATAGAGCTTTGAAATCTCAAGCAACATAATGCTGTTTCTAATGTCTTGTGCCATTTAGATGGGCAAAGTTTTTAAAATCTGAAATGTAAAAATCAGTGAGGAGTGTTTCAGTGCCTGCTGCCTTGGCTTTAGTATCAGAATAATATATAACACTGTTACCTCTGCAGCCATTCTAGGGCATCCCAGCATGTTGCTTGGCTCTCCTCTAAGCGTTTCATTTATGTGAGATGATCCATTTCCTCCCCAGTGGTACCAATTGTGTAATTGGTTGCTTATTACCACAAGTTATAAGGAAGCCTGGTGGGCACAGTCTGGGCTGCAGAACAAAACACTGACTGGCTTCCAGAAAAAAATACGGGAAGGAGATGAGAGCAAAAGGACCACCAAGGGTGTGTAACCAAGCAGATCTTAGGGCTTTGGCACTCTCTCCTGTGCAGCGCAAAGGCTATGACCATTTCTCCTAATGAGGGTATAAGGAATGAAATGCTTATGAACTGTTGAAGAATGTTGTGGCCTGCTGTTCTCCTGCCAAGAGAAGTTATCTGCCCAGTCGATTGGTTCTGTAATGCTAGTTCATGTGCCAGTTTGGTGAGCATAACATCTGTGCTTCTGCATTTAGCAGCAGGGCTTTTGGTGACCTGGAATGCAGCTGGCAGAGGTCAGCTCATGGCTTCTGCTCCGACTTCCATTTACCTTTCCAGGCAGTGTCCATCCCCATGATGGGCATGCACATCAAGCTGCCCCAGCATGTGGATGTGCACGTACGTGTACAAGTGATGGGGCAACAGGAGAAAGATCCAGCACTCCCTCGTGTACTGGGGGGAGCATAAAGCAGGGCTGTGCAGCCGCACTGCAGCAGATTTGCTGCTACTCCCTCGCTTGGCACAATGCATACAGCTGGGCAGTGGGGCAGCCAGGAGCCAGAGGCTGCTTGGCAAATGGTGAGAGGGCTAAAAGAAATCAAACGTGTGAGTCTCAGCCTGACTGCACTCAACACAATAGGTCTGCAGTCTCCGAAGCTGTCTCCTGTTGCTCTGGAGGCCAGCCTTGCCCTCATCTCCTCTTTTCTTCCTTCAACCAGTCAAACAGGGAGCAAAGTTATTGCTTTTTCCCCAGTGGAGTTGATGTTGCTATATGTGAGGGCTAACCAAAGGAGGATCTGCCCAGCAAGGTCAGCTCTCGTAAAGCTGTCCTCGAGAGTTAATCTTTTGTTTGGGTTATGGGACAGATGAAAATGCTGGAAGCGTTTTAGGCACAGTTTTGCTTATTTTCTTAGCAGTTTGTTTCCAATGAGAAGTGCAAGGCGTTTCAAGTTGACCTACGTGCATCAAACATTTCATAATAGAAAGGATGTAAAAATCTAAGTTTAACAAATAAATGGAACAAGTATGGAAACTGATCTTTTTCAGAGATCCTGAACCCTGATTTTGTAACTGCAAATAGCTACATTACAGTTGTGAAGAAAAATTTGTCTGTTTTTTGATTGGTGGTTGTTTGTTTCGTTTTGTTTTAACGTCCCTGTGTTTTTTGTTTTATGTTTTTTTTTCCAGAATCTGCATAGATTTACACACATTCCTTCAGGGAAGTGCTTGGATCGGTCAGAAGTCCTACACCAAGTTTTCATTTCAGAGTGTGATTCCAATAAAGCAACGCAGAAATGGGAAATGAACAACATTCTTAGTGTGTAGATAAACAGAACCTACCTACTGACACATTCATTTGTACAGGACTGAAAATAGCCTGAAAACTGCTGCAATTATTAACTGTACAGCTCCGAGCCTCCTGACTTGGATGAAGGACATAGATGAACTGTGATTATTACAATAACATGATCATCCGCAGTTAATGTTTACAAAACTGCTTTACCTTAAACTCTGTAGATGTTTACATCTTTTTGTTTTAAGACGTTGGTAACTTAATGCGCTGTTAGCTGTGTTTCATAGGAACATGGTTAAAGGCGTTGTTGTCTTCTTTGGGATTACACTCAGGGGTCTGAAGGCAGTTTTTTTACACAAACTTGAAAAGGTTGGAGTAACCAGATTTTCATAGAACTTGGTGATTATCAACCTGTTGTAAATTTTTATTTAATTTTACATCTTACTAAGCACTGCCACAGGTTATTAGCCAGGGTGGCCTTCTCTCACAGTCATGCTGCTTTTTTGGAAGGTGAATTTCAACATATTTAGTGCCTCTTCCGTTTCTCTCTTTCACAAGAAAAGCATTTGCTGGAAATTACACAACGGATGTCACTACAGGCAGGGATCAGCTGTCCCACCCCACTACTGTGTCCCACCCCAGTTACTGTGTAGCTGAAGACAGCTGCTGTCAGTAGCTGTGCTGTTTGTCAGTGGCCCACTCTGAGAGGCCCCTTCACTGCAGATGCTCCAAAACCTCACGTCGGGGCCATTGGCCCACCTCTGCTCTGGTATCCATGTGGGGGAGCAGCTTGGCACCTGGTATGGAGCAAGGAGGAGCTCAGTGGCAAGGTTAGCACCAATGTGGTACGTTGCGTTTGAATGAAGCACCCTTGCAATTCCAGTCAAGAATCTATATGCTCTAACTTGCTTGTTTAAATCATACCTTACATAAAAATAAGAATAATCTAAAATATAGATTTTTAAGAAGCTGCACAATGATTTAAAAAAAAAAATAAATAAATTCCAGTGCTTAATTTATGTTGTTATTTTAAATGAAAATCACGTAGAGGTAAACTAAAACTTAATTAGAAAAAGAATACAACTCATTAACACATCTGCTTACTTGTTTGAAAGGACATCTGCCCGCTATTTTGGAGTCCGGGCTTAGGTTTGAAAAAAGAAGTGGAAATCTTGATGCATTTATTCTTATAATTTTTTTCCTTTTTTTTTTTTCATTGGAAACTTTTCCTGAGCGATTACAAACACAAAATATAACCACTTGGTGCTATAATGTACAGAACAGAGTGTGAAGAAGTTTCTGAAATTGTTCCGAATAGGAGTTGATGAGAACTCCCTCAGGAGTGTAAGTACTTGGAATGAACAGAGAGGTGGAGGAGAAATGACTTGTTCTCACTCCCTTATTCGAGATTTGTGACTGTTAAATGTTGACATCAGTGTACTGACTTTAGAGTTATGCCTATAACATGTCACATTATTAAGTACAACTAAATATTCCCTGAAATCTAGAATAGCATTGCATGCAGCTTTCATTGGTGTTAACAAGGGTTGTGTATCATATATGGTGAGAATTTGATCTTTCTAGGGCAGACTGCACTGATATATTAGTTTGGGATCTTTCCTAGTTTCTTTAAACTTCTCATCTATCCTTTCAGAGGTATGAAAAATAGAAAATAAAGGAGGGAGAAACTGGAAAATGGAAAATGAGGGTGTGTGTCGGTACTTGTTCCTTGTGTGTATGAAAACTGACTCCATTTTTGTGTGCTGGGTAGATTAATTTAATCATATTACTATGCATAAGAGAAAGAGTGTGGCACATAAATTGTGCATTTTAAATGGGTGTTTTGTGCAATTCATTACAAGCTGATGCTGTGTGCAAATACACATCTGTATGTGAGAACGAAACATGAGATCATAAGAAGCTGTTGCTGTAATGACTTTTTCATACTATAGCTTGCTTGGAAAAAAATAATAATTCCCATATTCTTGCTTTGTAAGTCAATGATAATATCACTATGCATTTCTACATATTTTATAAATTTGATTTATGCAGATTTTGATACACTGTATGTTTCTGTAGAAATTGTATAAATCTTTCAGAAATTTATTAGGGAGAAATCTGGGAAACATGTATATCTTATGGGTTGCTTGTTTTTTAGGTGAAGTAAATAAAATATTTGAATTTTTGGGTTTACTATATTTTTACAGAGTAAAAATGGATTATTATCTATATAGGAACCCCGTATCTCTAAGTCTTGAGAACTTCTGTGTTGCAAACTTACAAATATTAAAAGTGCTTTATTTTACTTTTTACCTAGGTACTTTCTGTCATATCTGTGGGGGATGAGTTTTTTTGTCCAGAGAAGTCAGAAGTGAAGTTCTCACCGTGAGTTGCCATGTGGGCACACTTGGATTTTTGTACTACCTGCACTGATCTAATTAGGCAGATTTAATATGATCACATGAAAAAATGAACATGAGAATGATTTGTAAAGTAGAACAAAAGGTCCTGGTAATAGAGGGGGAAAAAAGCAATCTGTACCACCTGTGAGGTTTTTGTAATGTTGCATTGCTCTGAACAGGCATGTGGATGAAGACTCTACAGCAAGGTAATGGCATAGCTTATGGTTTGATGGACCTTAACTGATGAAAAATGCAAATTCCTTCCATTAAACAGGTGCACTGCGAGGAGAGGATCAAGGGCTGGAAGAAAGACTGAGAGATGATTTAAACACCAAGACAAAAAGGTATGCATGCGTGCTAGATCCCTTCTAATTCTTGTTAAGAATATATTTAGCCGAAAAGAAATGTGGTTGCTTGAGGGAGAAGTGTGCTGTGTGTGAGCTGGAGGGCAGGTAAAGCAGGACGAAGGGCTGTGGGTACCGCTGTTCCCATGCATGAGATTGCTCAGTGTGAGGGCAGAACTGCCTCCAGTGGGGTGCCAACTCCAGTGACCAGGTGGGCAATTCGTGCTCTTTCTTGTGCAATAATAATAATAATAACGTCTGCTGCACAAGCAGTCTCACGAGGAGAAGGGTGAAAGGAGTGAAGGGTGGGAGAAGCAGTAGAGCACTACCTGCATTAAAGAACCCCTAATGTCAGCACCCAAGATGCATGGAATGGCAACAGCAGCCCTCAGTGAGGGGTTTCTTTTGCCTGTTACAGTATCTCATTATCTGTCATGTGATGTTTGGAGTCCTTGTTTCTGAAATAATCAGGACCCTTTTTCTCTATTGCACAAAAGCAAGGAGTATTCTGATTTGGGATAGGAACTGAACTTATCAAAAGAAATAGAAAAGTGCATACAAGACAGAAAAGTACATACAAGACAGAAAGCCGAGGTAGCACAGTAGCCTTGTTTCCCTCATGAGGATTGGTGTGGTCAAGCAGCACAAGGCAAAGTGAAAGGACTGGGCAAGGATATTTCTCCCCTTCTGGCAATTTACAGTTTGAGGACTTTGAGCTAGAAACTGTGTTTTCTGTGCAGTATTCCAGAATCTGTATGGTCCTGTTTTGAACCTAGGCAGACACTGGTCATCTGTCACATCTGATTACACAAAAAATTCCCAGTTTCCTAAAGAGACACACTGGCATTGCAGTTTGTTCCCCTGCTGAGAGAAATCAGTGAGATATGGAAGAGTGATGGTCTTGCTAATGGTCTAGATTCCCAAAGGAGGAGTTAATGCTAGGTCAGTGCTGGGTTCAGCTAGCCAACAGCTGGCTTCAAGATGGCAGCGCTGACAAGAATGTCATCACCACGCATTTTTCAAAAGACCTTTTGGAAGGATGTGGTCTTTTCTATTGGAAGCTACTTGACCGTAGAATTACAGCTTGTCCATTCAGATGTCACTCCTTCACTCTGCTGATGAGCCCACTTAGGGGTACAACTTCAGCAATAGATGTTTGGATTAAGAGGCTTTGAGAATAGCCATAGAATTTGTGGATGAAGCATGAGATTTCCTGGCCAAAGATTTTTCTGATGGCAGGCACAGTATTCAGTCCTGAAACAAGAGCCTCTCCAGTAATGAGGCCAAAGTTAGTTATCTGGCTGGAGCAGCTTACAGGTTCACTCATTTATTGCTGGCCTGTGGCAGTTCTTGATTGCACTGTTTAAGAGAAAATTGTGGAGACAGAAATATCAACTTTTTTTCTTTTACTGGCTAGGTTTCAGTCTCAGGCACATGCCACAGTTAGAAGGGCTGTGAGTCCCACAAAGGCTCTGTGTGTTGGAGAATGTAGCAGTAAGCTCTAAATCTGTGCTGTTACGAGATTCTAGACACTGAACTCAGAAGGAGTTGTGGAGAAGCAGACTGAGCTATGAAGCAACTCATATGAGCAGCAATTCCAGAAATGCAGAGGTAGTAGGCAAAGAATTTAGATTTTTCAAGATGCAGAAAGAAATACAAGTCAAAATGAGACAACAAAGATAAATATTTGTTAAGGATGGCGAGGCAAGTGAAGCATGTTCTGTGACGGACACCACCACAGCAAATAAGCTGTCACTAAGCTATAAGTAGTAGATAATATGCTGGTATTACATACAAGGTTCTTCTGATACACCATTATGAAATAGATAGACAGAACATCAGCAGATCAAAGATAGAACTCCTATTTCATTTTTTTCTGATTTTCTTTCCATGCCCATTGCTGATTTCTTTGTTGCTATTTGAGTTTTAAAGCCTGTATGTACTGCATTTAGTTCCTGTGTCCATAGCTGTGTTGATTAAGGTCTTCCTTTTGAAAACAAAACAAAGAATATTTACTGTGCTTCAGACCATAGGATTCTCTTGGGAAAAGTAAGACCAACTTTCTAAATAGGTTTTGTTCAAGAAGTTGGTCTAAGGAAAATGAAACCTTACATTTCTTCAGGAAGAAGATAATGTGTTCATAAACAGTTCTTTTTTTTTTTTCTTCCAAATTCTTTATTAATGATTATAACTATTAATGCCTGACATGCTGTTTCATCCATTAGTCTTCACAGAATTATTATAGCTCCAGCATCTCCTCTAGACTAGTATGATGTAGCTTATTTTCCATCCTCATTACCAGTGATATAAACATTAGACCATTTTCCCCTTTGCATGTGTTTGGGGAGCACGTATTAACTTGTAATATATTTTGTATTAACAGCATATTTCGCCTTCTGTTTAAATCCTGCTGCCTTTGCAGTTCTTCACACTGCCTTTGCTGTTCTTCACAGTTAACTCTCATCTCTGTTGCAGCACTGTTCACCACTTTTCTACAAATCATTCACGTGTGTATATTAAAGTCTTCACTAGCCCTTTGCCCAACCTCCAAAAATAGCCTATGGGTTTTCACAGCTGATTTTTCCCCCACTGGCAAAACTGACGACTAGGTCCTCTTGTGTCTCTGTGTATTAACCAGTCACTTGTTAAGACCTTCAGTGACGGCTTCCTTTCTTTTATGAGGGGTCTGTTGAGAAATTCAGATGGAGTGGACATACCTGATCTCCCTAGCTTCATTTTCAGTGTGTGATCTAGAAATTCTCATCTGTGCTATAAGAACTTCATAGCTTGCCATATGGATATACTGATCTGAAGTGCCCTGTATCTCCAAGGAATACTTTCTAAAAATTAGCATCGTATTTGTGACCTTCCATTCCTCCAGTGCTAAGGCAGCTTTAAGTGAAAAAAACATAAAGTACAGCTAAAGGTTCAGCCATTTCATCCTTGAGTTTCTTTAGAACTCAGGGATGAATACCATCTGTCCTGTCATTTCATTTCAAAACCTTTTACAGTTGGATTTGAGACAGATGCTCCACCATGCCTCCTCCATTAAAAATTCCGTCATGAGAACTTTCTGAAACTCCTCTACAAGGTTTTTTTTTTTTAAAAAAAAAGACTTTATTTTCCTGAAATCTGCTCTGAACACTGATTTTCTATCATAATCATCTTTTGTCCCAAAGGACTGTTTGGTAGGCCTCCTAGTTCTTACGTTTATGGAAGTTATTAATCCATGTATTTTTTCAACGTGTCCTGCTCGTATTTTTCCCTGCTGCATATTGCTGCATCTGGTTGTCAAAGTGAGAGTTTCTTCTGTTTTACAGGTTTGGAAATAACTTCCACTTTTTTAACTATGCAAACTACTGTGGCCTTTTCTGAACATTTTTTTTCTTTGATCACTTGCTGGATCCTCCCAGCACAGCTTCTTTTAGTGTCCACAGATGGGCATTATCTGAAGCTCCTGATCTTACATACCACACTTTTTAAAGCTTCAATCAAAGGTAGTGATTCCATATGCTCTTTTCCATGCCTTTCATCTGTATTCAGCACCCTTCTTATCAAAAGGGCAATGTACTATTCAAAAAATTACTGATTATCTTTGGTCACTGCATCATTCCCACTGAGAATTCAGGGGAGGCGATGGGGAGTTTCTACAGGAAAACCTGAACAGAAGATGCAAAGAATAATACCAGCATAGTCTCAGCTACATCATCCTGTCAAAGAGAATTGTATGGATATGAAAGAGTATTATATAGTGCATATGGAGATAAGGACAAAGGTTCTCTGGAAATGCAAAAGCTGTACTAAAGAGCACACAGCGCAGCTTTGGGTTTTCGAGGCCTTCAGACCTTAATACCCTGCTTCAGTATGAAACATTTTGAGTTACCTTTAGCTACCTTATTTCCATGCTTTCATGAATATGTAGCGTGCCACGTACCATGGTGATGGGCTGAAACCATTTTTTATCTGACATCTATACAAGTGACTATTTTTCCCATTTTTCAGAACTTTTGCTGGACAATAGATGTACAAAAAAAATCTGAACCATGCTCTTTATAGCACCTACTCTCTAGACATGAAGTAACTGTCAGCACTGGGCTTTCAAGTTGTACTAAAAGGATTTTTTTTAACCTGTTATCTCAACAAATTAAATGGAGCATATTAGTTTAGCTATGGAACCTTCAGTTTTCCATGTGGAAATACTGTTAGACGACTAGAGATGTTATTCATTATATATTCATGCCAAGTTTGAGTAAAAATCTGGGAAGACCATGAAACAGTGTAATTGGTGCTGTTAACTCTACAGCTAATGAAGTATCAGGAGCAGGTGTTCTTTAAAAACACCTCCTCCTTTTTGCAGGAATCTTAACTCTCTGTATGTGAGATCATTCCAAAATTGTTCTTGGTGTTTCACAAGCTCTGTCCTTTATAACAAGTCACCTATACTGGGGCCAAGGGGAGAGGGAAGGAAAGTGGGGAACATCAGGACAGACATGCCTCTGAGCACATCTGTCCAACAGCCAGCCTTCCTGATATGGACAGCAGGATATTTCCTAACGCTTATTTCTCAGCTAATAAAAGGCAAACCTTCAAAACCTCTGATTCAATAGGGTGGTTTTGTTTTGTTTTTTCTTGAGGTTGGATGGAAATCCAGGTATAGCCAATTTCAGCACTAAAACTATAAGATTTTTAACTCTGAAGGTGATACAGGCAAATACCAGCATAGGGGGAAAACATCAACTGTGACTAAAGGTAGTGTGTATGAGAGAGCATGATGTAAAGAAAAAAGATCCTCTAAATTCCAGAAGCTTAGAGTCCATCACTGGGAGAAGGCTCCCTCCCTCTCAGGCATAACAAATACAACAATAATCATGTACAACATTTTATTACAAAATTGTTAAAAAAAGTAATACAATGAATATACTACAAAATATAAGATCAGCTATTAAGCTACCTCCTTTATTTTACTTAGCTAAAAAAAAAAAAAAAACACCTGGCTATCA